CATTTACAGGAATGATGGAATGACTATTAATATAGTGCTCTGGGAAAAAGCTCGGGAGCCCAAGTATGTACACTGACGGGGCAGCTGCAGGAAACATCACCTGTAGTGGAAGAGGTCTCTGTACATTGCAGGTATTTTGGCAGGGTCCACAGGCCTCGGTAAAAAGTGAGTGAATTTCTGATGTCTCTTAGTCCTGTATCCCTCGCGGGGGGAGCCGTCCTTGTTCAGCGCCACGTAGTAATGCCTCTCCGAGTCGGGATGCTTGTAGAGGGTCGAGGCGTACGTGTTGTACCAGTTCTCCTCAAACTGCTCTCGGAAAACGCACTCCCTTGTGAGCTTCTTCTGCGTTGGGGCAGGGATGTGAGAAGAAAAAGACGGGTGTCAAAAAATAAAAATAAAAAAAAATGTATTTTCCTATTTCCTTCAATTTTTTTCCTATAATTTTCCTAGCTACCTGCTTCTGGCTCCCCTGAGGAGGGGACTGTGCTGCTGGGGATGATGATCGTGGGTGAAAGCTGGAAACGGGCACGAGCCCGGCCCCAGAGACCTCTGAAGCTGGAGGAGGAAGGAGATGGAAGGAGAAGGTGGGTGTGCGCTTTGCAAGGCCCTCCATTGAACATAACTCACGGCTGCAGCAAAACTCCAAGCCTGGCAGCCACGTGGCTGCGGTCGGGGTGTGAACGTGGAGCTCATGGCCTGGGCTGTGGGACCGGCACCTGTCCCACAGGGGGCAGGGGGTGCCCCCCCGGGGCCGTGCCCCCCCGGCAGCCCCACGCGCAGGGAACGCACACGAGGCACCTCCTGGAGCGGGTGAGAGTTCAAGGCACGTAACAACACAGGCTGCAATGGGAATGAAAGCATTCCTCGGGCCTTTCATCTTCTGAAGCGCCAGGGAGCTGTGATGTGAGGCCATAACAAGACGTGGGGAGGTCTGCACGGGGAGCAGCGCCCCGGGGACGCCTAACCCCGGGGGAGATTTAGGTGAGGCGATGAGTGCGTGCCAGCACGAGGCCGGGGCATCACACGTCGGGTTTGGGGGATGGATGCCACCCGTGTCATGCAGCCACAGCCCCTTGATCCCTTGCCCTGGTGGCTTTTTAGGCAGTGGCCGTCACCCCGTGGGCTCTGATCTCTCCTTTCTTTGCCAGCTGTGGGGCTGGGCAGGGTCACAGCGAGGAGCGGGGCTGTCCCCGGACCCTCCAGGACCTGGGGGCTGTGGGGTGGCTGCACTGAGTGGCAGGGGACCCGCAGACCCCGTGGGGATCGCCCAGGAGGGGTCAGGCCTTTCAGATGAAAGGCAGGCTGCAGACGTAGGATGTTAGAGCATTACAAAGTCTGTACCCACACGGTGAATTATTTGGGCAGGGAATGTGTCTTATCTGTGCTGCACGGAGTGCTCAGTAAATGTTACTGCCTGCAGTAGATGTTTTGTAACAAGATACAGGAGCTCACCTGCACTCAGAACCTGTTTTGAGTGTTTTGCTGCTAATTAAATGAACCCTGAGGAAACTCATGAGTCCTCCAAAAGCCTCCGCCACAGCTCTTGTCACCTGAGAGCAGGGGAGCTGCGGGTTTCCCTTCCCAGATCTGTCAGTGAACATGCACTTCTTCCCCTCCCTCCTAGGGTGGCACCTACTCAAAACACCCTGGAAGCTCCTGCCCAACTGCAGAGCAGCGCTGCTGCGTTGCCCCCAGCTGCATGCCTTTCACCGGGCTGTTTGGAGGCTCCGTGTTGCTCTAGAACATCTTGACTCTGCAGGACATCATTTATCTTCCTGCCAGCCCTGGGACATCCCCACTGAGCCTGAGGCGATGCAGGGCACTGCCCGGGACTCACTGCTCCAGGTACTGGCTTCTAGTTCTGAAATTGGTGGAAAATGTAGCACAGGTGCCTTGGTGGCAGTGGCTGGCTCTGGTGCTTGATGCTGCTCCATCAATGCGTGCAGCACGCGAAGCTGGCACTGAGGGGAACACGACACTTGCAGAAATTTTAAAAACACCCCTCTGCTGCAAGCTCCTCAAACACCATGGTAATGCTAATGCTGTTGTTACACGCTGCTCTATGGACCTTTAAGTAGCAATACTGCAGTGCCTTTCCCTTCTGAAAAGCCATCGGTGCACAGCCCGCATATTACAGATCTTAAAACTTCAGGGTTATTTGGGGAGCTGGCTTGTGACTTTTGCACGATTCAGATTGGGGTCACTGTCATCCCTGCAGTGTCCAGTGTGTTTCCTAGCGTGCAGGGTGCAACAACAGAGAAAACTCCCATGATGATGTCTTAAGGTCAATTCAGTTTCCAGGTAAAGCCTTGTAAAATTGTATCTTTGTTATTTCTGGGAGGTAGCATTAAGGCAGGCCCTGGAACTTAATTAACTCTGTTTGTTGATTCATGATCAGAGCTGCAGGGCTTGAAAGCAAAGGAGATACGCAGGTTTGTGCCCTTGTTTTCAGCATGAATGAGTAAAAGCTGCAATTCCAGGAGCTGTTGAACAGCCTTGGAGTTTAACAGGAGGGGTCCTGCTGTGTCGTTTTAGGCTTGAGCCGATTTCTGAAGTTTAAAATTTCTGTGTTTTATGGATTCCTGGTGACTTCACCTTTTATCTGTCTTGCATGCTTGTAATGTAATCACGGTCTCTGCTCTTTTGTTTTGGGTAGATGTTATTAAGGAAGTGAAGTGGAAAAAGAAAAGTTATCAATCAATGTTAGCACTAATCATCTCATATAAGCGTTGGTACCTGAACCTCAAAAGTAGTGAAAGTGGCTGTAGCAATCTCAGTAGATGGGAATGGGAGAAGGAAAGATGATGGAAACTCATGTTTTAGCATTACTGTTCTCTAAGAAAAAGTTTTCTGAAGGCTTCTCTATGTGCATTGAACACAAGGTTACAAGTTCTGCACTAAGAGGTTGATCTGGCTTGGGTAGAGAAAGTTTGTGCCTTCCACTTTGGTTTAAAGCCGATTTATTTTATGTCATTTTAAAATTATTGTGATCCACCCTCAAAAAAACAGTGTCCTCACATAGGGTGCTGGTCTAGAAAGACACATTTAAAAAAAACCACACCCTGGTGATGAGTTGAGTTCAAGGCAAGGGGGCATCTGATGAAAAAGCACTGATGCAGCACAGCAACTACAGAAATGTAACCTTAAAAAAAAAAAAGCTATCTAGAATGCAATTAATTTTCAGAATAGAAGCAATTCTTGTAGCTAACTAGAACTAATTGTTTTATATTGCATTCAATAATTAGAAATTGAGTCCTGTAGGAAGGACTCTGCCCAGCTACTGAGACCTGGCATTTTGCCTACAAGCCTAAACACTCGAGTAGAAGCGAGCAGAGGACAGCTTGGCTCTCTTCGGGTCAGTGGGGACCTAACCCATGATGGCAAAGCTCTTACTGGGTGCACCCGCGGGGGATCTGCACCATTTCAGCCCCGTCTGCTGAATGAGGCGTTAAGGAGTTCGTGCTGAGAGCAAAGCCAGCAAGAAGGTTACATGGGGCTTTTGGCAAAACAGGAAAAACTTCAGTCTGAAAGGGCATTTTTAGGAAATTATGAGAAACTTCCCTAAACTCCTAAAAGGAGCTGTAGAGAATGCTATAATAAAAATAACACACCGCACTTCCAGCTTCCATGAGAGAACTGTAACACACCTGTAAGACCTGCAGATCCATGCAGATCCCGAGCATGTGGGCAATAAATGTGACGTTACTCATGAAAACATTCAAACCCCACCCGTTTTGATGCTAATTTTCCCTCCTGTGCATTTAGCTGACCATTCCTGCCCTGTTTCCAAGAGGCTAAGCCCAGTAACCCCCCACAGCACCCCAGGTGCTGCACCCTGCGCTGGCCATCACTGGGGGAGCGCATCCCCCTCCCTGTGACCCCGTTTTGTGTCTGCCACTGGTGCTCTGCCTCCAGTGGGGATGGTGGAGGGATGTGGCACCACATGGACTTTGGAGGCCTGTGACGGGCACAACTGGTGGCACCGACGAGGCCCCACAGCCCGGGTTGCTGTGTATTTCGTATCCTCCCGAGATCTGGAACTTACCGACCCATACAGCTCGCCTCTCTCGTTCATGCCGAGGTAGAGTCCCGAATCCACCCCACGGATACTGACCAGCCCCACCGCCAGGCTGATGAACTCCAAAATCCCTAGAAGAGAAAAGGAACGCAAATCATACAGGTGGCAGAACTGACGCCAGGCTCAAGTGACAACCATGAAACGGCATTTCCCAAACAGAGCTGCTCACAGACCTTGCTCACTTTATTTATAACTGCACAGTTCTGAAGTCTGCAGTCCTACACGCATGCAATCCTTCAATTTCCACCCCAGACTTCTCCCCAGCGTTATGAACTTGACTTGTCCGAGGGAAATTCCCTTTCCTAATGAGAAAAGGAGTACTAGGCGTAGCTGTTGCTTTTATTTTTTTTTTAAATCACCAAAAAGTGAGATGCAGAAACGCGTGCCTGGCCCACGGGCAGTTTTACAAGGCTGTTGCCACCCTGGGTCTTCCCTCTTCACCAAAAGCCGAGGGAGTTTTGTCCCCACAGAGCTTCTGGCATGAGAAGACAGCCCCACACAATTATAAAGTGATGATTTCAATAGAAATAAATGAAAAGCACTAGAAAATGTGTTTGTGAGGCTTGTCCTGTTCCCGCTGCTGCAGTGAGGTGCTTGCCACCCCGAAATGCACAGAGTCTTCAGGGATAAAGCCAACCTCTGGTGTGCGCAGGTAGAAACGTGCCCGCCACCTGCCCCCTCCAAGCTCCGGGGAAAAGCCTCCTAGAGGGGCTGGGTGAGACTGAAGATCTCACATGCTCCCAATCCAGAGGGCACGGGCAGCTCATGCCCACGTCCAGCGCTGAACGAGTCAGCCAGGAGGCTGCGGCGGAGGCAGGAGCAGGGTTTGCACCATCCCCGATCTGTGATGAACGGGCAGGGTGTGTCCGCTGCCGGGAGGGCAGAGTTGCTCTAACCTTTCGCCGGGCTCCAGGTGCCTTAATATAGCTCCCACGATGTCCAGTCCCGAGCGATTGCCCCACCGATCGGGTTACCTCCCGCAGCTCCTCTGCAGAGCGTGCCCCGGGTCTAAAAGCGCCGCGTGACGTTCGGCCACCGGAGCCGGCTGACTCTGGTGGCAGGCAAAGAGATCTTCTGCGCGGTCAGGTGTGGCTGTGCTGACTTTCTGAGGGTGTCACCGCCTAAATATAGGGCAGATATGTGGCCCCAGACCCCTCAGCTGGGCGCAGACGGGTTGGTCAGGTGCAAGACTCAGGCTTTCTGCCTCGTGTCAGACTTTTTGTCGGCGCTACGGCTCGCCTGTCTGCAGCCAGCAGGTGCTGCGGGGCGGAGACAAAATATGGACCCAGGAGCTGGAATTCCTTGAGACACACAGGGAAGCAAACAGGCAGCTTGAATTTTAGACCAGTGCAGAAATTTGCCAGGCTGAAATACGCCCAGCTACACTCAGAGCGGGGTAACTTGTTCTCCGTGGGGCTTTGGGCTGCTGGTGAGCAGCACAATGCGTCAGGGCATTCGTTTTCCATTAGGTCCTACAAAGCACAAAGAAAGCACAGCCTTTCCAGATGGCCCACGTTTTCTTCAAGGGACTCCAGAGCTATGGATTTTCCCAGAGAGTCGGTTCTTTCCTCTCCCTTGCGTGCCCAGGTTGGGCACACGTTGCCCTCAGAGCAGGCAGTGGGCACAGGCAGCCCTCCAGGAGCTGGCTCTGCTCTTCGTGCACCGAGCTTCGGGGTTTCTTATCTGAACAGAGGGATGAGCAGGGAGGGAAGAGGTGCAGGATGAAGGGTTTGCTTCTGCCTCCACTCCCCACAGGTCCTGAAACGTGGAGCAAGTTACAGACCTGCTGCGCACTTCCCTTTCCCCACCTGCAGGACAAAAATGAGGACAGCCGCTACTTCTGAGTAATGGGAACGCACTCACCCCTCTGAACAGAGGCACGGTTATTCAGAAAAGTAAAGAAAAAAGTCATACAGGGGGAAAGGAGTACAGGGATCCCTAGAAATGGGGATCCAGGCTGATGACAAGTGGACATTCAAGTGAAAAGTGTCTGCGAACTGGAGAGCCGTAGATCGACCCTACAGGTACCAGTTGGGTTGCTTGGTTTGCTTTTGGTTCTTAAATTTACCTTCTGTTGTCCCTGGGAAACAGGAGAATGCTCCCAGGCCTGTTTAGGAACCAAGGGATGTTGGAGAAAGGGAAGCAGAGAGCTCTTCTTGAGGTTACCCACCAGCAGGCTCTGTCTGTGGCATTCGAAGCCATCTCCAAAGCCCTGGTGAGGGCATCCCAGAGCAGCGTGGCCCTCCCCAGGAGGCCTGACACCGCTCCTCTGGTGCCCGTTAGCTGTGCACTTGCTGCTCTTGCAACCGAGATTTCTGCAAGGTGGACCTGTGACAACCTCTTCTGCCAGTGTGACTTGCAGCACTCCCCTCTCCTGATCTCTGATGGCACTCGGAGACGTGCACCGAAGACAGCTCTGTTCGAATAGCACTCAGAACGTAACTTAAACCCACAAAAGTCAGGAGACAGAGTGAAGGCTGAAAAAATGTGGGCAAATATCCATCCTGTCCTTAGCTCACTCCAGTCGCTAGACAAAATTGCAGCTTCGTACATCTGATCTCCAGCAGCACAGGGAGCGGCCACTGGGGCCAGATCAAGAATTTTCTTTCACGTTGTGGCGGTGTTTTTGTGGTAGACCCTGGCTTGCTGTTTTTTTTTTTCCTTTCTCTTTTTTTCTTTTCCCTCAGGACTTGCCTCACTTTTCATGCTTCGATTGTTCATTCTGTTTGTTCGCCGAGTCTTTTTAGATAATATTAGGAGAGATTTGATTGAGGCTCCAACTGGATCCCTTTAACACCAGAGCCCTGGATGATCTGAGCGCTGTGGCGGCCAGCCCCGCGCGCTCTCGCATTACCCCAAACTATCCCTCAAAGAACAATTCAGCTCGCTGCACCTGTCTCTTCCTGCATGACTGTATTGACGAGCCGGGCTACAGAAACAACCTCAGATGTTGTATCAATGTCCACAAACCTAAAGCTTCAGCTAAAAACCTCAACAACTGTTTGGGAACAGGTGCACTGCAGTCTGAATGTCAAAATCTACTGCAAAACTTGCTCTGGAGGTTTCACCAGCTTCTCTAAGAGGCTCTGTTACAGATCCATTACCAGATTTGTACCCCAGAAGAGCTTTGTTTCCTCCCTTTAGTAGTCTCCAGCACTAACTCGAGGCCTTTTCCTCTCCTCCCTTGCAGCGAAGCGCTGTTGGAGCTGCTTGTTGAGTGCTGGTGTAAAACAGACTCGAGGCAGAAGGGGAGCAATTCCTCCTGGCAAGGATTTTCCTGGCAGACTGATCTCACTTCCCTCCGCAGAAGGATTCTTCTTGTAGGGGTGGTAACGTCAGTCCAAACCCTCTCCAGCCTTTGACCATCCTTTATGTCTCTGTACAGGAAGGCTCCTAGCAGATGCAGTGAGAAGATGGATACATTTTTAAAAACACTTCATTTTATTTATTTTTTTTTTTCCTGGGATGGCTCAGGTGGAGCTGCCAGTTCAGAGAGAGCATTTGGGCACTCCTGTTGTCTAAGCTTTCTTCTGAGGATCCTGGAGAGCTTCACCAAACTTTGCGTTAAGCCTCCTCTAGGAAAAATAAGCTGCGCGCTGTCATTCTTGTGCGAATCTGTGTTTTTACAAGTATAAAATGTCACATTCCAGGGGACAGGTGTGATTTCAGAAAGCTCCAGTCCTCGACAGATGAGAGGCAATAGTTGCTGCGACCGCTCAGGCGTTGTGGGTAGATGCTTCTGCTGCTTTCCCTGTTTCCTGCTGGCACATCCCTTGACTTCTGTGGTACAAATTAATCTCTCCCTTAATCCTTCCTGTTAGGACCTCGACTGCCATCGCCAGGCTCCTTATTTTTCTCCGTGAAAGACTTGGACGACATACACATCTGCTAACTTCTGGGATGGTGCAGATACTGTCTGTCTTTTCCTGAACCCCTTCCAGTAATCAGAGATAGGGATACAAAGCCCAGTCCCAACCTCCATCCCCTCTGCAGCTGGATACGTGCCTGTGCTGGGGCGTCCCTGCGAGCCATCCCTGGAGCAAGCACATTAATAATCTGCTCGGGAGATCAGGGAGCACCTTCCAGCCATGTGGGCTCGATCTGCCAAACCATCATACAGGGTTTCTAAGTATTTCCCCAGGTGCCCCTAGATTTAAGGCGGCTTCAAACTGCTACCCTGAAACCCTCTCTAGCTCCGGATCCCTCGGTGTAGTTTTGTAGCTCCCCAGCACTGTACAGCCTGCCTGTTTCTGTAATAAGTTCCTGCTTTCTGCCTGCTGCATGCAAAATTTAGGAATGCATCGATACATGACATCCTAATACGAACCATACCAGTAACATTGGAATTTAAATATTCATGGCTACTGAATGCAGATGGTGAATGCTGTGTGCCAATACGTTATTGCTTTGAGTCTCTGCTGCAGCAAGATTCAGTCCAACTTTATCTGAACATGAGGATTCCAGTCTAATCCTGTGGGGCTTTGTCCTGCAATTACAACAAATAACTATTTATTTTACACTGCCTCTGGGAAAACCCTGAAGCAGAAAACTATAATATTTTATATCTGAAGTCTGGTCTAGTTTACGTAGCTGGATGCTGACTGCTAAAACACTTAGGGAATGCCAATGCTTCGATTTATTGAACACACTGTGTGACTTAAGCTTAAGTGTGCAAAATTCATGAAAAGTTTTAGGCTGTTTAATGCATTCTTCCAAAGTTTGTTTGGAAATACGTTTATTTTACTCAATCTTTTAAAAAGTGGGACTGAGATAGACATAGCCATCTGAAATGGTTTACCCGTATAAAGATAGGTTAAAAAAAAAAAAAAAAAAGAACTGGCAGATTAAACTAAAAAGCAAACAGATGCAGTGGGTTCGCTTTCAGTTTCTTTTTAAAGGTTAAAAGATATGTGTCTTTCGGGAGGTAATTAAAGAACACTTGCTCCACGAGCCCATTAGTACCTTACTCTGACCTGCAGGTTATGACTTTCTTGTTGATTTAGGCAGGGACATGTTACACACACACCTGGTGTTTATGGAAAGCACAGTTCACAGATAAGCTTTTCCAATTGTTCCAAAAACCTGCCTTAAACTAACAACAACAATAGCAGCGGCGGCGGCGTTCCTGAAGTCTCAGAAAGCACCGGTTGCAAACAATTAAAGGCAAAAAAAGAATTCCCTTCACCGAGGAGTTAAATCACTTGAAAACTGTAAAAAGTCTTGCGAACACTTCTCGCAACCTGTTGACAACATAGCTGAGATCACTGGCATGGGACTTGTTGATAGCTTACCCAGACACCTGCACTAGATGCTGAAGTAGCGGGAATTTTTCTTAGCTGTGCTCAAACTTACTGTACTCCTTCGCCTGTGGCTTGGGATGCATTTTTTGAAGATTACATAGAGTCTCATTAGAGATCCCTGCTCTCGTGTGACACAGATACAGGCTCTGAAGTCTTCCAGCTTTATTCCAGACAGCAAGGTAAATCCACAGCGCTCTGCCTATTGTTCCGTCTGCTCCTTTCGGAGGTCCCCTAAGCATTTTCCCCCCTTCAGCTTCCCCTTTCCTTTCCAACCACCTCCCGAAACCGAGCTGCAGCCGCCCGTCCGGCCAACTGAGCCCTGCCTGCTCGGGGGAGACTCCCAACGAAATTCACGCAAGGAGAAGAAATCACATTAGCTCACGGATATCTGCCGAGGCCAAAAGAAGGAGAAAGAAAGAAAAAAAACACACGAGAAAGCCAGGAATTTCTTTTTCCGACGTGCTCCCTGCTTCCCTTTGCCTGCCTCGGGGTTAAGTCCAGGGGCACGGGCAGAGCTGAAGCGGCCACCCCGCGGTCCCCCCATCCGCTTTTACTCGTTTTTTTGCCTCTTTTCTTCCCCAGGGCTCGTCCCTGTGCACCTGCAGGGCTGCCGGGAGGGGAGGAAAGGGGGAAGCACGACCCGCCCGCCCCGCCGGGCAGCGCTCGCCGAGCAGCCTAATTGCATCCGGCCGCTGCCGGGCTAATTAATGAGCGGGGCCGGGGGAGGCACCTGCCGCCGGGCCGGGCCGCCACCTGCCGCCGGGAGCCCTTACCGAAGCGGCTGTGGTCCTGCCGGGTGCCGTGCACCGTGCCGTTGGGGAAGATCTCCAGGTGGAAGCCGGTGCGGCAGTAGAGCTGGCGCCGCCGCAGGATGCCCTTGAGGTGAGCGAAGTCGGTGGGCGAGCCGCGCTGCAGCCGCCCCTCGATCTGCCCCAGGCGCTCGTTGAGGAAGCCGGCCGGGTCGGCCAGGGGCAGCCCGGCCAGGGCCGGGGGCAAGCCGTGCAGCTCGGGGTCCAGCGCCCCCAGGAAGCCGCCCACCTCGGCCATGGGGCCGCGGGCGAGCAGCGGCCCCCTCAGGGCCCCCTCAGAGCCCGGCCGGCCCCGCGCGGCCCGCCCCGGCTCCCCGCGCCTCCCATGGCTGGCTGGGGCCCGCTCGCGGATGCGAACGGCACTTTATATACGTACACACTCCCCTTACATTGACATATTGGATATTTAAATGCAAGCCACACCTCACTGGCATCCCCTTTGGCTATCGCTTTTTTTTTTCCTTTCTCTGATCCTTTTTTTTTTTTTTTTTTTTTTTTAAAAAAGCTTCCCTCCCTCTTTTATTATGAAAAAAAAAAAAAAAAAACCGGCAGGGAAAAGCTCCACGCGAGGCTCCGGGCAGGTCCCGGCTGGGAGCACGGAGCCCCCGCACGCAGCCGGGGATGCGGCCCCGGCCCGGCTCCCCCTCGGGGGCTGCCCGGAGCCCGGAGCCCCCCCAGGGTCTGTCAGTGCCCCGCAGCCCCGGCCGTGTCCTTTCCCCCCCCCGTCTCACACCGACCGCTGTGGAAAAACTAACACGTAGGGGAGCGTGTTTTATTTTTTTATTTTATATATATATATATATATTTTTTTTTTTTTCTCCAGCGTCCGAGCTGCAAAGCGATCTCTTTGAAAAGTGATCCCGCGGCGTTTTTACGGCCGGGTTTACAAGCGGCGGGCGCTGAGGGGCCGGGGCCGGCGCTGGGCAGCCCGGGCTCGCTCGCCACCTTCCTCCCGTTGCAGACAGGTGTTTCCGCGCCCTCCGACACCGTATCCGTGGCAGCAGCTGCCGGCAGCGCCGCAGACGGACGGAGGCAGGCACGGGGAGACGTGCGGGACGCCAGGGGAGGGGAAAACGCCAGCCCGGCCGGGCAGCGCCCGAGCCTCGCTGAGGAGCCGCAGCCGCAGCCGGAGCCGCCCCGCCTCAGCCCGGCCCCGCCAGGCGGCGCTGCCGCTGCTCGCCGCGAGCCCGCTGAGGGCAGCGGGGGATCCGCATCGCCCCGTGCCCCGCCAGGGGAGGGGAAGGACCAGGGGAGAGCCCCCACCCCAAAAACCAGCTCCCCAAAACCCCCCCGCAAAAACAACCCGCTCCGCCGCTGGGGACACCTCGGGCTGCAGCCTCCGACCCCTCCTCAGAGGGTCTCGGCAGCCGTAAGGGGCCTCACAGCTCAGGGGTCTGCCCCTTCGGCAGGTAGCTCCCCTCAGGGCTCGCTCCTCTGTGGGTTTGTTCTGCCTCAGCGGGTCCTGCCCCTCATGGGTGCCCCCTCAGTGGGTCACGCGTTTTGGCGGGCAGCTCCCCTCAGGAGGGGACACCCCTCAGTGGGGTCCCCTCAGTAGGTCTGTCACCTCAGCGGGTCCTTCCCTCATGGATCTCCCCTCACTGGTCTCCTGTTTTGGTGGGCAGCTTCCCTCAGGGTGACTAACCCCTCCTCGGGGAGCTCCTCTCAGCCTGGCTGTCCCCTCACGGGTCTCCCCTACAGTGGGTGTCCCCTCAGCAAGTCTTCCACCTCTCAGAGGCTCTGCAAGCAGCTCCCCTCCAGAGGAGCAGGGTTCCCCTCAGCAGGTCTGTCCCCTCATGGATCTCCCCTCAGCAGGCCTCACGTTTTGGCAGGTAGCTCCCCTCAGGAAGACTCACCCCTCCCTGCTTTTTCCCCCTCAGCAGGTCTGTCCCCTCATGGGTCTCCCCTCACCAAGTCTCTTCCCTCGGCAGGTTTCCCCTCAGTGGGATCTGTGCCCTCATGGGCTTCCTCTCATCGAGGCTCTCCTGTCAAGGGTTTTCACCCCTAAGCCCCCCTGCAGTGGGACGCTTCTCCCCACATCTATCCCAAGGCAGAGGGATATGGAATGACCATAACATGCATCCCCCTTTCCCCCACAGGCCCGGGCAATGCTCTGTTGTGAGGACGTGAAGAAAGTTGTGATATTACGACATGGAGTATCCACACGTGCATCTGCAGCGGGTGAGGGATCTGGTTTTTAAATGTGAGATGGGGGTGTTTGTTCCTGTCAGAGCTGCGGCTGTAAAAGGGGTGTAGTTGATGCAGAACTTGACACGTGAAGCCTAAAACCATGGGTGTTTTTAAAACGTAGTCTGTTCCTGAGGTAGTAAAATCTGCACAAGTGTGTTTGCTGGCTATTTGTCATGTATGGTTACATGGGGATACCACTGTCTGTGGAGTTCAGGCGTCCCACAGCAAAGATGGTGTTTTTATGTCTGTGTTATTTATATGAAGATTCAGGTGTGGTTGGGTAACTGAAGGAAACAAACTTTGCCGGCCGAAAATGAGAGAAGCCTGAGGAGGAACACCCCAAATCTGAGTAACTGCTAAGGTCAAAATCCTGTTAATGCTGTGAATTTAATGCATGCAATTTGTATAATGTGAATGATCCCAGTACAATCAAATAGGCTCTTCTGTAAAACGTGGGCTTGCTGAATTAAGGGAGTGAGTTTTGCCTCTGGATTCATAGAGACCAGAATTTCACCTCATTCCTAAATATGTCTGAAGGTAGATCATAGGAGTATTAAGAAGAGAGAGGAAAAGACAGTTTCTTATTAAAGGACTAAGTAAACCCTGGCTTCTGCCACTGACTTCAACAGGCTCTGGATCTGTTACAGTATCCTTAAGCCCAAATCCATACAATCACTTATAGGAATACTTAGGAAACTGGAAAAAAAAAAAAGTAAGATTTCAACTACATTACAGTAAAATCCAAGATAAAATAAAAAGAAACAAAAACCACAAATCTCCACACTTAAATAATGTATAACAAAAGCAGAGAAATCCCTCATCCAAGCTGACATTCCTCACTTAACTCTCCATGATTATGGCCAGCTTTTTAAGTGTCCGCAATACGTTTTATTGAGAAGTTGTATGGGCTGGTACAAAATGTTCTATTTAGGCACAACAGGATGCAGAAAAGGTAGCTTTCTCTTTTCTTTTTTGTCTTTAATTTCCTGGTTTGTTTACATTTTTACTAAGCTGAGGAAAGAGCAGAGAGAGTTGTGCCCTGTATTGTTTGAAGAAAAAAAGGTATGTATTTTGAATACGCAAAGCTAGAATAAATTCTTTGGAAAAAGAATTTCTATTAGTTAGAAAACAGGTATGCACTCAGCAATTTCTTGAACGAGGATAGACACTTTTACACAATTTGCGACACAAAGTGTGATGTGTTACAGAATTAATTTTCTGCTCTGCTGTGTTATAGTTTATGCAGTTCACCTGGCTTACTCATTGATTCAAGCTTGTATTGTCTACCTTGGTAATTGAAATGGTTATTGCCAAACTATCTTGTATTTCAATTCATGGAAGAACTACCAATGATATTTATTCTCAGCTGGCACACATGAATGTTGTAGGCCCTTTCCCATACACTGTGATTGATGTGTAGCAAGGTAGTAAAAATACTGATGGCATTTATTTGCAAAATAATTACTATTTGCAGAGAGCAGCTGCATTTGATATCTTGCTATAAAATGATAGGAAGAGCAGGACTGGGGGCAAAGCAGTAAATTAATTAGAAAAGAGTAAGACAAACAAATGCAATGAGCAAACCTAGATACTGCACATCCTCTGCCTGGGGCAATTCCATTTGGTCAAGAAAAGGTCAGGATAGCTAAAAATAAATTGAAGTAACAATGGCCATAAGTCAAAAATCAGACATGAAGAATATCTGAGGATAAAGGAAAAAAGCAGAGCCTTGTACTTTAGAATAATTATTCTGCTTCCCTAGCACATCCCACCGCAGGATCTCAAAACAATTCATGCACACTAATGAATTAAGACTCACAACCAAGGTCACTGTGCATCTATGCTTTCCCAGACAGTCTCATTTTCCACTAAGAGATGTTTTCAAAGGATATTGATGATTTTCTGTATTTTCTGAAGATTTTGAGTGCACAGCAGCCCTGCTGGAGCAGTAGCTCCAGCCAGGCATCTGTCTATCCAGAAACCAGACGTGTCCACTCTGTGTGTGCAGGGAGCCCTTCTGCCTTTTGTTGTGTGGCGACCATCTGCGCTGCACATGGAAGGAATGTCTGAAGTTCCCCCGCAGATAAACAGGGCAACCACCTTTGTGAGGGGGTGAATAAACAAATTTTCTTAAGGGGGGTGAAGGATGGTTTATTGGTCTTTGTCTTTGGTTGTTTTTACTTAAGCTCGTGTTATTGTTATCTTTTGTAGTAGCACTTCCAGGCCCTAAACCCAGCGTAGGCCTGGTTTGTGCCAGATACTGCATTAAGAAGTGTGTTACAAACATCACTGCTTTCTCTTTTGGAAAGGTTTGTAATGGAAGGCAGCATGAATGAAACAGCTGGATTTCAGTCAATATATAGAAGTATGTATATATTTTTGCAGCAAGTCTAGAATTGGTGGCAGGTTAAAGTGCGGGTCTGGAGATAAAGCTCCAGACTTGCCTGGCTTGGTCTTGGGATCAGGTGCCTAGATGAATGATGTGTTTTTCAAAGGGGGAAATCCCACCTTCTCCAGTTACTGTTTATTTCAGTGTCAGACGTGGATCTGCTGCTTTTAGTAATCCCAATATGAATCAGTAAGTAGGAAGCAGAGTTTTTCTGGCTCACTGCTGACTCACAAGAACCCACTTAGCATGAATTCCTGTATCTAAGTCAGCTCTCTATAGTCCTGTATAGGGTAGCAAGTTATGTACAGGGATGTGTAAAGAAACGTCAGTGCTTTGTTGATACTCAGTTATGCAATTCTGCCTTGGTTCTTTCCCATTTTGAAAACTGAGGGGGTTTATTCACCCTGAAAAATTATACCTTTCCTCGTCACAGGTTTGGTTCCTGACTTGAATTATTCATACTGATACATTTCCCAGTACTAGAGGCTGTGTCAGGAACAGAGGGGGAATCTTAAGTGGGGGAAAGTGGTGCATATTACAGTAGTTTCTATTTGGAACTTTTTCTTGGGATTAGTGCTGGAATTACAGGACTGCTGAGTTGTTAGGCTTCTGCTTTTGGCCAAGTGTACCAGAAGAAACTTACCTGTGTAGTTGTGCCACTCCGTGCATTACAATGCCAGTGCAGCTTGCCACGTAGCCACTGACTGATGCACAAGTTTTCTGTCCACGGTGCTCGTATCTTGCACGTACCTTTTACATTGTAGTCTGTACTGTAATTTCATGCCAAGACAGCAGCACGTCCTTCCCAGACCAGTTGAACCAAGGAACATGACAGAAGTTAGAAGAAGGGTATCTTGGTAAAATCCTTTTGTTATCATCCATTTTTTTAAAAGCATGGTTTAGGAAACAATTAAGGGTGGTAAATAATCTGTTACAGCATGTTTGTCGTGGCTGCTAAGGGGTGGGGGGCGCCCAGTTAGCAGTGAGTCACTTCCTTTTCTGTTTTCACTGCTGGAGAAGCAGAAGATAAGGAGGCCATTCAAGTTGCAAAGTGTGTTCAGGATGCTGAAGTCTGTAAGGAACAACATCTTAAAGGACTGCTTCACTCTGTTGTGTTGGAGCCTTACCGTGACTTCAAATTATATCCTAGACCTAGAGTGGGACTTAAAGCTGTAATCTGTGTTTTGAAGCACCAGTGCAGCACAGTTGTGATCAACAGACTTGATAGGCACTTCAGTACCTCAGTACTTCTCTGTTTTAGGCTGAGAAGCTCTCAGTCAGCAGGATGTAAATTGTTTTGTGGCTTACAGGTGAAATACGGAGCTAGTTCTTTCTACTGGATCCGTCTCTTGCTATAGTTAGGTAATAAAAAGGATAATGTCATAACTCCTCTCTGGAAAGCATAGACTCAGAACATACCTATGGAAACACAAAAGCCAGTTCTAGTCCTACTCCAGTGAAAAATGTCACTTATTATGTTATTCTTACATGTGTGTCTGTTAACTATATCAAATTTTTACAGAATTGTCCATGACCATGGGGGCATGTATGTCTCTATCTGTATCAGTCGGTATTGGTCAAATATAAAAGAGTCACAGCAAAAGTCTGTCTAGCCCCGTATCCTGCTTCTTGATAATGGCTAATAACTTGTGTATGGAAAACAGGATGAGGATGGAGTGATACTTCCTTTGGCAAAGCCTCCCAGCTTCCAGCGCTTTCTGGTGTAGGCACCTTCCTGAGCTGGAGTCTGTAGCTGTATCATTGTTTTTGATTCTCCTTGATGGACCTTTTTCCATAAAATTGTCTAATCAGTTTTTTGAAACCCACTTGTGATTTTGGCTGCCATGACATCCCGTGGCAGTGAGTTCCACAACATCATTAGGTATTGTGTGAAAATGAATTTCCTTTTGTTTGCTTTTGAACCTGCTTGCTGCCTGCCAGCTTGAGTTGATGCCCTGTTTTTTTTTCTGTTAAGACTGTTTTTAAATAATCATTGTTGTTTACCTTTTCCATGCTGTAACAGCTTGTCTAGAACTTCATTGTTATTCTTGTTTTCCAAGCTGAAAGGCTCCGGCTTGCTTAAGTTTTCCCTACACTAAGGCTTCCCAACATCACCTGCAGCTTTGGAGCACCATTATTCTTGTCCATTCTGTAGCTATGTATTTCCACAATTACTGAAACTCTGCTCAGTGTTGAAGAGGTGGGCGTACCATGGGTATATTCAGAGGAATAATGACATTTTCTGCTTTGTTCTCCAAAAAATTCCTAATGAGATGTCTTTTTCCTAGATTCTAACACCCTGCCAATCTCTTCAGAGAACTATCCACTTCTCCAGGATCTCTTTCAGAAGTGGCAATAACTGATCTAAAGAACAGTGAGGCTGGCTCTTTCCTCATACGTTATTTTTCGTTTATGAACTTTGAAATAAATTTACTATTTTAACACCCACTCACTGAATACATTTTAGGTTTCATTTTTGGGAATGACTTTGTATCATCAGCAACCTGCCTGCAGCATTTCCACATAGTTTATGGAATATGAAACAGCAACAGGCACATCACAGACGCTGTTCTGAGCCCTCTGGGGAGCTCCCTACATCTCTGATGCTGAACGTCTTTTTCTCTTGGCTACGATGTTTTCACCAGCCATGATGTCGCCTTTTCTCTCTTTCTCTCTTCTTACAGTGAGGTTCATTTATGAGCTTGAGTTCATGCCATAGCTAATAGTCTGGTCATTTCCCTTGTGGTACCTGTAGGGATTATCAGTTAATTCCTCATATCAGTTTGTTATTTTTATCTGTGCTGCTGCCTCAAGTTCATTTTCCTTGCTGAAGGGCTGTAGCTTTGTGTATTTAACATAGATACAAAGATTCATTGAGCTTTCTTGCCTTATCGCCTGGAAGTGTTTTCTAAATACCTCCACAAGCTCTTGTTTCTGTGAACTTTGTCCTGCGACTGCAGTGCAGATTTACAAATTGGAACAGAGTTCTGTATTTGTCTGTGGTCAAATTGCTTTGGGATCTTTGGTCCTGTAGCTGAACTTTTCTGTGTGTGTCTTTGAGGACAGTGACACTTGTTCTCTCCCTGCAGAACTAAAACTGGAATGCATTAGTATGTGAGGTGGGGTCAGGAAGTCTGTGCTGGAAGTTATTCTAGAACTGGGTGAGTATTTTTTTATGGGATAGCCTGAAGTGAACAGAGGGACAGAAAAGGGCAAAAATAAATAAATACCTAAATATGCTAATAGGCCATGGTTATGGCACTTGTGATGACTGCAACTTCTCAGCCTCACTGCTGATGGTTCACATGAGGAACATTACTCAAGTTGATTTTTATAGTAGTGGGCTGTATGCTTATGAGACACACAGAAACTTAAAAAAAAAAAAAAAGTGTAATAGTGTAATTACTCTTTTGTAATTTTGTAATTACTCTTTTCTGTATATAAGTCCTCTATACTTTAATTGGTTTGTTCTCTTCTTCAGTGAATCAGTTAACTAAATACAGCATAACACACCTGCTGTCAGGAAAAGAGCCAGGTACTTCACAAAGTTGACTCGAGTAACGTTGCATTGTATGAGACTTCCGAGATCCAGCAGCCAGCTGCCCTGCAAGTCACAGTGCTTCCTCGCTATGTGTCTGTGAAGAATGGAATTAACTGGCTATGAAAACCACTGTAAAGACACATTTTTGATAAATTCTGCTAGTGGCCAATGGATAGGAAGAAGCTATCTAAGGGAGCCCAGACTTGCTTGCATCTGATGGACACCCTTTGAAATGTGCATTAACTTTCTTCAGGATGAGAAGTGTTTCTTTTCAGGACAGCCACTTGAGTTTTGTAATGTGAGTTTCATTCAAATGTCATGTGAAATCAGGAGTTAATAGGATCCAGTTTTTATAGCATTGTCCTTACACAACTGCACTATATAGTAATCGCAGATTGAGTTTCATGCAGGATCCCAAAATGTTTATTTTACAGCATCCTTCGCTGTTTGTATAGCATTGCTGTGGCCTTTCTCCAGATGGGAACATGTGGGAAAGCAAAAAGCAGGTGGCTCGCTCAAGGACGTGAGAATCTATCTTTAGTGGAGTTAACTGGTGCCTTGCTAGCACTTGTGTTAGCTTTGCTTTGGTCTGAGCAGTCACCTGGGCTGTGTTGCATTCCCTTTGCGAGCTGCTAGCACTCCTTAAGACCGTATTTTGCAGGAAAGCTGTCCTAAGAACGTGTTGGGCCCTGAGGAACAAGCACAGGCAACTCTCTCATGTCTCTTATTTGTGCTGAGGAAAGATAAGCCTTGCTTATGCTTTCTTTCTCGGTTGATTATGATAAGATTTATCTGCCTCAAGTATGGGAGGTGGGGAAGGCACGGTCTAAACCCTTCCTGAGAACTGGTTCCAACACCAGCCAAAATCAAAGCTTCCTTTTGGTGTAGGGAGCTGGTATTTCTGCTCCCGGGTTGGTATAGCTCTGTCTGAAGCATCGTGAGCCTCAGAGTTTTGCTTCTGGATGTGCAGCAGAATTCAGGTTGACACCAAGAGACCATGTTGACTGTAGTGAGGACAGAAACACAGAGCTGGGCAGAACTGAGCATAGACCCAGAAGTCTGGCTTCTCTGGCCTCTGCTTTAATAGCATGGGTAGTTACGGCCTTGGTAAAATGAGGGAAGGAAGACGAGGAGTATCTTCTCATGCAATAGTCTAAAAATATTGAGATATACCATTGCTGAGGTTTTCTAAAAGATTAGAAACTTTTCAGATAACTCCTTCGGCAATAAACATGTCAAAATTTGGAAAATTAAAATAATCTGCTTCTCAGGCACAATGCAAAAATAAATAAATGAAAAATTACAGCTTCTTTTGTAAACAAACCAGAAACCTTAAGGCCAGTTTTTTTTTGTTGCTGGATAAGAACACAGCAGCTACTAACTTCAATAGTTCAGCTTAGGCTTGGTAGAAGGAAATGATAGGTCTCAAGTATAAGCTACCTCACAGGAAGATTGTAATGAAATCCAGCCAGCTTCAAGAGAAAAACAAAAAATATTGATTTTATTCTGAGGAAAGAATGAGAAAAAGAACAGATGTATGGAGTCTTCTGTCCACTTACTGCAGTCTGCAGTGCTGACTTAGAAACAGGCAATGGGTTAGACTTTTCTTCTTGTGCTTCCTCCTGTAGAAATGCCCTGGGTTAGACACTGAAACGATTTGCTTTGGGATAGTACAGGGGAGGGAGAACAAGGACCTCACGCAAGAACTGACCTAAGCTCTGGGAAGGTCTGTATAATCTAATTTACAATAAAATGGTATTTACAACGTTATCAGACAAAGCTGAGCAGTGTTAAGTTAAACAGCATATAATGTGATTAGTGGGGGAGCCGTGCCCATGATGTCATACACATTCTCTGAACTCTTGGAATGGGCAGATAATGTCTCAGGCATTTATTCTCTGGTGACACATTAAAACAAAACAAAAAGTCCCACCTCCATGCAGCTCTGAGGATGGGAGGGAAATGTGTTTGTACACATGCACGCAGCCAGCTCCAGGGGAGCTGACGGCACTGCAGCCAGCTGCTCCCTTTGGAGCAGAGCTCGACCTGTGGTTGCACCCTACCTGCGTGGTGCTGTGTGGTGGTTAAAACAGGCCCTTGGGAGCTGCTTAGGAGCTCCAAGTTCTATTCCTGACTCTGCCACAGAAGTGGGTTTTGACCGCTAAAGCTTTCTTTGCCTCTGGTTACTCCGTTTGTAGCAGGCAAAGGTAGTCAGCCGTGTCTGTAAAGTGCCCTGAGTGAAGAGCTGCATGTAGATGGAAACCACTGGCATTCTGTTCATTATGCAGAACAAATACAGCTAGACCACAAAGAGCTTTGCTGCAGATAACAGCAAGCAATTTCATAGTTTGTAATGGCCCATTCAGAAAAAATTAAATCTTTATCTTTCTGTCTCTCTGAGGCAAGCAAAATGGTATTAAAAATTTTGGCTAGACTAATTAATCTGGTAAGCAATACAAATCCCAGCTATAGGTTCACATCAAAGATAATCCAGCCTGTATTTATTTTAAAGCATGCTTGAACTCCGGTGTAGAGATTGACTAGATAGTATTCCTCATTTCAGTGGTGCATGGAATGAACAGAGGCTAGACTTGAGTTCAGACGGGAGCTACAGATGTAGGGAACGAGACGGGGCCACAGGCAGAGCTGGAAAAGCCTGAAGAAAAGTGGCGGGTGGGAAGGAACAAGTGGGCTTGGAAACCACGGCTCACACATCAGCTCTATTATATGCCAAAATCTACCACAACACTGGTGCGATCTGCAGCTTTTGTCACAACAAACAGTCACCGGCTTGGCTGCAGCGCTGCTGTGTGCTGATGGCAGCGGTGTGGATTTGTTGAGAACTGGCGTGCGTCACTGTCGGTTGACCGCAGAGAAGTCTTTGTTGCTCAGAAAGTGGGAGCCAAACTTTTATCTACGGCTGATGAACCAGGAGCAGGGGCCGAATGTAGAATGAGCAACGTGGATTGTTGGGCAGTCCGATCAGACCCGTGGGATGTGCTGATACCAGCAGTTAGTGAAAGTGAAGCCTCCAGGTCATCAGCTTTTAAATAATCAAGACCAACAGCTTTACTGCAGTAGCGTGATTTAACTCTGTGTAGGTATGTGCTACATCATAGGTGCTGCTTGTATTAAAGAGTCTTTGGGTTAAATAGCATTGCACAGCTTATTTTGAGGGGAATTTTTATTTCAGGCATTTTTACATTAATGTTTTTTCCAGTCCTATTACAAATGAAGTATCTGATCGTTGCAGATGTACCACCAATGGATGATTCTGCATGATGGTACCAGAAAGATGTTTAAAATGACTTAGAATAAACTCTCTAAGAACTGGGCATCCCAGAAACATTCCCAGACACGGAACATTTCCAGGAATGAGTATTTCTGACACTCCCATTTAGAGCCACGTACAAATAGTTACCTGAAACCCAGGCCAGCAGAGAAGCTGCGTGGAGGCAGATTGCACACCGTGCCTGGAGAGCTGGGGTGGGATGTCCTGTCCTGGGCCTCTGGTTACCCATCTGTAAAAAGTGGGGTGTGATGCTTTGTCTGGCCTAGGAAAAGTGTTTGGAATGGCTAGTGACAATTGCCAATTAGGGACATAAACAGTCCTTAGAGTAAAAAAAAAAACACTTCACCAACTGTAGAGTCTGAATATCTTCATGAACAAAATGCTTTCCTCCCAGCTCTCACAGGAAGCGAGTTAATTGGTAGGCCAATAACCATAATGAGGCAGAACCTGGGGTTTTGCATGTGTATAGCGAGATCCTCCCCTTGGGGCCAAACTCCTGTTCCATATTATGAAAGCAGTAAAAGGTCTCCTCAGCAGGTGCTACATAAAGGCATTTCAGCTTTGCCTTTGCAGCGCTGGAATTGCCAAGCTATTGCTTTCCTGAGTCTCCACGTGAATTCCCCAACCCAATGTGCAACAGCTGTGTGAGAGATACAGCCTTGAGAAAAGGGGTGGCAAAAGAACACCACAAATGGGGATTTAATCAAATAGCACAGAGCTGCAAAACAACATCAGCGTGTTTCTACTCAGCTTTCCTTTGGGTAAGGGAGACCCTCTCCGTTTCAGAGTTCAGAGAAGAGAGGTAATGTGCGATTATATGCTATCCAGGGCCACACTGTGTAGCTTAGAGTTAGTGAATAACACTGGATGTGTTAATGCAGTGACATGGCATGGTTTACTTAGAATGATGCCTACAACCCTGAAGGAAGATCTTTCTTTTAACTGCCTGCCTGTCGCTACTGCCTATGTTAGATTTAATGAAGGAATGGTTTACCACAGCACCTAGATTTTAGCCATTCAAGCCAGGAAGTGAATTAGAAGCTGCAGTGAGATGGGGCAAGTCTGAGAGGGTGGAAGTAATTCTTGCAGTATAACTTAATTAGAGCAGAGTAGCATTTCCCTTCCTTCAGACGTGGTTGTGGAAGTAGTTGCTTTCTTCCTTACTGAAGCCTTCTGAAACATAGTTTACACACACACACAAAAAAAAGTTTACACAAAAAAAAAAAAAAAGGGCAAGAAATAGGGAGAGTTATTGTTTTGGACTTGTCCTCAAAAAGGATACATTTAGCAATGCTTTTTGTTTAATCCTTTTCGAAAGGAAAAATTTGTTGCACGTCAAGTCTACCTGTATGAGTTTCCATGGTGTTTCTTAAGAGCTTTTAGGAAGGCTGTCTTCCTTGTCAAATACTGACTGTGCCTGTTTGATCCGAGTGATTGCTTAGTTATGATTGATGTATGAAACGGTGGAGGAGGTTGCATCAAGGAGAATATAGCTAGCTAACTACTGTGGTAGGATAACGTGTTAGAAGAATCAACACCATTACAAAACTGACTTTTTTTTCTTCTTAAGTCATAAAAAATTCCTTTTTTTTTTTTTTTTTTTTTTGGTGTATGCACTTTACAGAGTGATCAGAAGCTGAACAGCAGCATCTGTCAGAGAAGATAAATGACTTACCAGCAAATCATTGTACTTAAAAGGAAGACAAAAACCTGTGGAGTAAGGGAATGAGTTTTAAATTAGCCATTTCGCTAAACTTTGCCCTAATGAAGGGCTAATCTTTGGGCCCCTGCAAAACAAATGAGAGCATCTAGTTAGACACAACGGAAACCAGCTATTGAAAAGGCCTTTTCCTTATGAACCTAATTGGCAGCAAAATAGTTCCTTTGGTAGCTGTCTTCATTTAACAATATCTTTCCCTTTTCCTGATTTATATACAGTAAAGTAAGGACTCGCTTAATTACAAACACATTTGCCTTTTTGCAGATTGAAAACTAAATATGCTTGAGTGAGTTTAGCTAGAGCACTCAAAAATAAGGTGCATAAATTCTGCAGCATAAATTCTTCAGAGGTTGCCTGAGAAGAGCTTTATCTGGAGGAATTTAAGGTAGTGTGCACTCCGAAAGCCCTTTCTGTACGTTGAGGCAGCCCTGTGTGCAGGGTTAACTGGAGTGTGGGCCGGCGTGGAGATCAGCTAACTTTACACAAGTTAAAATCTGACCAGGGATTTCAAGGATATTTTATTCATTAAATTAGCTTGTTCTCCTATTCTTATATATAAGGGTAAACCGAATATTTCTTTTTCTAAAATCTGAAGATAGATTTTGTCAGTTGTTTCAGAATCCTAAAGCATCAGGCACTTGATTGCTAGAGGAGCAGGATTGTGCCTTTAAGGCAGAAGGAAGGAATGTGTCAGTCATGGTCCCTCTAAAGCAAGGACTTATCTTGATTATAGAATTAGCGTGGTGGTAGAATATGATCTCATCGCTGTGAAAGATTACGTGAAATATCAACTTGGCTGGCCTTAAAGCAGTTCTTTTCTCAGCTGCATTTGCAGTGCAACAGTGGCCACAGGGTTCTGTAATTTGAAGAGATGGCCATAAAGATATTTTGGAAAATTTGGCTAATTGTACGAATTCCAGTAAACAAATTCAGGGACGGATAAAAGCATGACTGTTTGATGTTTTCTTTGACTTTTTAAATCTTTTTCTAAGACTCTTAGAGCAAGCAAAACTCGAACGCTCTTAACTTTGTAGGACTTATAATTTCTGTCAAAACCTGTGAAAATAGATACTGTTAGATGAAAAGTCCTGGAAGTCAATGTAGGCTGTAATGTAACTTGGTGTTTAGCTGTGCAGAACCTGTCCGTTGGAGGTAAGAATCTACCTGGAAAGCAGGCTTCATCTGAGTAATGAGCTGCCCAATCTGAGGTGTCTGAGGAAAATTCACCAGGTTTATTCATTTGCTTTTTGTTTTACGTCAGCATCTGAAGTGTTTCCTAGAACAAGGAAAAGTACAAAAAGTATTTCTCTACTAAATCACGTGGATGCCTGGCATGTGCACGATGTGTTTGTTTGTTTTTCCAAGGTGCAATTCAAAGACCATACCAATGCCCTGGGCCAAAAGGAAAAATGGGAAGAGATACTCAGACAGCAATGGCCAGGCTGCTCTCATGCACTGATTCCAGCTGTGATCTCCTCAGAACCTATCTCAATGGGAGAATGGCACTGACACCCTTCAGCTCATATGGAAAGAGGATAGGGGAGATCCTGAATACTCCATGTGCAATGTTTGTCCTAAATCCAGTTACCTTCCCCTGATCCACTTTGTTATTCACTGCATTAATGTCCTCTCTGTCATCCTGTGACATTTGCAGACATAATCCTGCTCTCATAAATAGTTCGTGCTCCTGCAGCGTTTTCTGTCATACTCAGGAAAAAATAATTAAAAAATAAAAAGCCCTCCACAGAGGAAAGTTCTCACAAACAC